TTTATGTTAGTGACTCTTACCTCAATAGTTTTTTTAAAGGATATTAGGTAAAAAAACAAAGAAACTGAATAAAGTATAGACTTTAGTTAATAACCGCCAGCTGGCTGCATCTCCAAGCTGCCCAGCACACACCTGCCCCGGAGTCTTTGCACCTGCTGATTCCTCTAGTCTCAGGTGACAGAGACATTGGATCTGACCCCAGCAGGCCAACCCAGAGTCTCCATTTGCTCCCTCCACCTTTTTCCGCCTACCAGAAAAGTCGAGGTGCTTGGTGGTTAGGACGGAGTGTGACTGGGAGACTGAGTGGCTGGGATGACATGCAGGACGTTTGGGTGCCTTGGCGGGGACAGTCTGCCCCCCTGGAGGTGGGAGAAGGACCTGCAACCTCTGTGGGGTCCCGGAGGAAGTGGGCGGGGGAAGCGATGGAATTCAGTCCAGCGGGGGGCCTGTCTGAGGGGCCTGCTTCCAGCCGCCTCAGGAACAGGAATGGCGAGAACCATTTAAGTCTTAAGGGAAACTGCTGAGTAATGAGGATGTCCCTGCACAGCGTCGCTGCGCCCGGCCTCCCGCTCCAGGAACCAAGACTTCTGGGGGTGGGGGAAAAGGCTGGGCCCTTCCAGAGGGTTCTGGGGAAACAGCGTCTGTGTCTCTCCATGGCGATGGGGAGGAGGGAGGCCACCCACTGCCCTCAACACGCACTTGGGCACTTGGGGACACCCCCAGCCCAGCTTGCCAGGGGAGGGGCGCAGCGTGGAGGGACAGGCCTCGGGGGTGCTTCCAGGGACGGTTTCCAAGGAACCGAGAAGGGAACGAGGGAGGAGAAGACATCCCGAGTGTTTTTAGGCGCTGAATGCAGCCTTGAACTATTTCCAAGGCCACTCCCGGGCGCGAGCCGGGTGACGATTTCGGTGCCCAGTTCCAGCAGAGGCGGGTGGGGTGAGTCACCGCGGGGTGGCCAGGCCAGGCTGGGAGGGGCTCCCAGGGCAGGAGCAGGGGCCTGCGAGGTGACCGTTCACCAGCCTGGGCCAGGCGTCTAGTCTGGCCTCCGGGGCACAGAGGACAGGGGCCTGGCCGCTGCCCACCACGCAGGCCAGGGGTGTGGCACCACCACCCAGGCCCCCCTGGACAACGAACCAATCATGCTGACCCTGTGGGTTTTGGAGGTGAAGGTCCTGGGTGAGGTTCCAGACACTCTGCAGGTGCTGGGTGAAGTGCCACTCTTAGATGTTTTCAAGCATGTATGGAGCACTTGCTGTATACCAGGCATCCTCCCAAGAACCCCTGTGAAGGGGAATCTGCTATTATCTCTGATAACCAGTGAGGAAACTGAGGCACAGTGGGGTTAAACTACCTTCTTTGCCACCTTCTTTGCCTGGAGCCCTGGCCCCTGTCCATCAGCTGAGGCTACAGTCAGGGGAGTGAACTTGAAAGGAGCCCACCTCGCCCGCTCCCTCCCCCACCCCACCCCAACTGCCTGCTGGTTCCTGAGTCTGCGCCTGACACACCTGAGCCAGCGCCTGACACACCTGAGCCAGAGAAGGTAACGGATGCTCCAAGTTCAAGGAGGCAGCAGAGGGAGGAGCTCTGAGTAGGCTCTGGAACTGTGTGACCTGGGGCATGTCGCTCACCCTCTCTGTGCCTGCATGTGAGAGCTGCTTGGCACACGCTCAGCTGTTGCTAGGATCACGCACGTGGGTCTGATGACCCCTGACCTGTCTATGCCCTAGCTGAGTGGCTTCTCGTTCTTCAGGACTTGGTTCCACCATGTCCCCCTCAGTGAAGCCTCCCTTTCCACTCTGTGGAAAGGTCCCACTCCAGCACCCTGGGCTTTCTGGGGAACTGAAAGCCCGTCTGCCTGGGCCCTCGCGCCTCTTGTCCTGCTACCTCCAAGGCCTCCACACTGGGCTCAGCCCCCAGCACCGCCTCCTCTTGGTCTCCTAGCTTCCACCCTTACCCAGTCTGTTCCAAAACACTCTGTGGCTTCCCATCTTGCTCACGGCCTGCACCTGCCCCATTTCCTGCCCCCTCACTTTGCTCCCATCACCACTCTTCGCACGCAGGGCCTTTGCACGGGCTGTTCCCCCCCCCCCCCCCCGGCCTGGAACACTCATCCCCCAGATGGCTGGCTCCCTGGCTTCCCTCAAGCCCTTTTCGAATGTCACTCTGGCCCTCCCTGACAGCTTCCCTTCCCCACTCTTGCTTTCTTCTCCACATTTATGCAGGCGGATTGTTGGCTGGTGCTGTGGAAAGGAAGGGCCGCAGGGCAGGACTCTGCCCAGCGCACTGAGCCTCCAGCTCCTGAGACAGGGTTGTGGCCCCAGTCCCTCCGCCCTGGGATGGTGCTCTGCTCCGTCGTGGCAGGCGGCTTCTCCCACTGAGGTCCTCTGAGTGGACATCAGGCCCCCTTCCCATACCCCTCACCGGCCAAGCAGCCCTTTGTCGACAGAGGGGCAGCAGAGGACACCGGGACAGGCACTGCTGACTTCAGGACATGCGGGCCCCAGGGTCCAGCTGGCGGGGTGGGGAGGACACTCGCCATCGCGCCTGCCCCGAGGAGGGGGGCGGCGGGCCCAGGCAGGGCCTCGGGCGTTGCTGCCCTCGCAGGGAGCCGCAGGGGAGGCCCGCGGCGGGGAGGAACGCTGCCGAGGCGCTTGCAGGCGGCGATGACGCGGGAAAGAACGGAGCCGCCTCCCACGCCGCCCGCTGCATCCCCGGCCCCGAAGTCTTGGCCGCAGGTCCAGGCGGTGGGACCATCGAGGCTGGCCTGTGGGAGGCACCATGGTTAAGGCAGCACGGGGTCACGCACCAGTCAGCTGACGCTCCAGCACAGGGGCAGAAAGATCGAGGCCCCGCGTTTAGGAACCGGGCTGCCGCTTTTGGTTTCTCTTCTTGTCGAGAGAGCAGAGGCTGGTTTCTTGAAACCAACCAGGAAGAGTGCAAAACGGGACTGTCCCGACACCCAGCTCAGGGGATGGAACCTTCCGGAAGCCCAGGGCACCTAAGCGGCCGGGGTGGGGGAGGCGGCTCACGTCACCGGCGGGCGAGCAGGGGGCCGGGCGCGTCCGGCGGGGAGCCGGGATTACGCAGGCGACCGAGGGCCCGGACTGCGCGAGGGCGCTGCGACGTCTTGGAACGCGCCCTCGGGCCAGAGCTCCGAGGGGAGGAGAAAGCCCCGCCGCGCCGAGCAGGAAGGGGCGGGGCCTCCAAAGGCTTCCCGTTCGCCGCCGCGCAGGACACCTGACCCCGGAGCCCCCGATCTCCGCAAAGCCACACCCGACAGAGGTGCCCTGCGGCAGGGGGGCAGCTCCCCAGAGGCCTTTATGGGCCTCTGCGTCCAGGGCGATGCGGGGGCTGTGAACACGACCCCTTCCCTCCCCACTGGTCCTTCCCTTCTTCCCCTCGCCCCCGTCAGCGCGGCCACCCGACACGCACAGTCCACCCTGCCTGAGACCACCGCCCACATCTATGCCGAGGGGGGTGGGTTCTCAAGGCCTTGACTTTCGAGAGCTCCCAAGTTCCTCTCGGACCCCACGCCCCCGTTCCCAACCCGTGCCCAAGTGCTGCTTTGTCACTAGACAAGGATTCAGGTGGCAGCAGGCCCCAGGAGGGGTGCGTCGGGGAAGAAGCACGGATGAGGCTGGGTCTGGGGGTGTGGGGAGCCCACATTCTGCAGCCCGGGCAGCGTCCAGGGCACCAGCTGAGAAATCGTAAAAGCCGAGATCTTTGAGACGACTGGGCTAGCACTTTATGGATCTAACAAGTGGGATTCTCGGGGCAACAATGCCTTTTATTCCAACCACCCTCAAAACACGTCTCGACACAGTGACAATTAGGAGAATCCATGGGAACTGGCTGGAGCTGCTGTCTCCCTCACAGCACCCGGCTGTCCCTGCGGTTCCCTTCACTTACAAAAGTCAAATCGGTCCGCAGACCATGTCACCGGAAGCATTTTATAAAACTGCTGGCTCAGTGTCTCAGGCAAATCACTGAGGTCTGGACAGAGGTGCAGGACCCAGAGAGGTCAGAGCCTCCTGAAAGGCTTCCTCCTGCATTCCTCGAGGCAGTCACCTGCCACAGCTTCTCTCTCAGTGAACTGGGGTGTGAAGGGTGCTTGCAAAACGGGGACAGAGCGGGGAACGCTGGTGGCAAGGACAGGCCACATGGGCGTCACGCTGGCTCCAGCCCGACACGCCCCCCCCCCCCAGCATCAACTCCCTCTACAGAGAGGGGAGGGTGACAGGCAAACCTGGTGCAGGGCCCCCACTGCCCAGATGCCAGTAAGAGGATGCCCAGGGACACGGAACCAATGTCTTGTCGAAATGCTTCCCCTCAGAGACAGGCCACAACCCCCGAAAGGAAACTTCTCTTGCTGGGCTGTGCTTTCTGAGGACACTGCACACCAGCTGGGCCTGGGGACTCAAAAGGAATTAGGGATTTGCAGTTTGTAGTTGTATTTGTTTTTATTTTTCTAACACAAACAGGGAGAGAGGGAGCGAAGCGGCAGGACCCAGTGACGTTCCCGAAACAGCTTCTGAGGCATCGGTTTGTCTGGATTTGTTTTGAAAAGGCAATTTCAGGAAACTCCGGAGGCTGTCAACCTCAGCGCAAAGAGCTTAAAATAAAAACCTCTTGTCTGTTTGCCACACGGGAATCCGACACAAAATGCAAAACAAACCTGTTGGGAATACACCTGCCCTTAAAACAAGAGTGACGGCTTTAAGGATGCATTAAACACAGGATCGTCCATGAATCAAGTCAGCTGTGACTTCTCAAAACCAGAAGCACCGAGTAACATTTCCAGCTGTAGAAACGCTGGCTAAAAAAAAAAGGGACTTTACGTAAAAAAGATCACAAAATGCACAGGCGGGGGGGCCCCCCCCCAACACTGGCCTCTTATCTTGGTTGAGTTGTTCTGACAGACTGGTGACCTGGCGAGCAGAAAGAAGGCCTGGGGGTGGGAGCAGATGCCAGTGGCAGCGATGGTGGCGCTGGCGGCTCAGTCTCTGGGGTGTGGAGAGGCGGCTCACTGTTTGCCCGCCTGTCTGCCCGGCTTCTTTTCCGGCTGACCTCTGCCTGTGCCCGGGATCCCACCTCGGCCCCGGCCGCCAAACACACCTGTGGGACAGAGTGGGGGCTGCAGTGGAGCTGGGCCTGGAGGCCCCGCTATAGACACAGACTGGGGACCCTTCCCCCTCTGTAAAGTGGGGGCGGTGGTCACACCTCTGGTGGGAAGAATGGGCTGAGAACCTGGGAAGGAGCGTCTGACCAGGGCCAGGCATGGGTGGTGCTTCAGAACGTTCTCAGTGTGACAAAGGACAAGACCAGGAGGACAGAGGTTGGCACCAAGTCACATCGGGGCTTGGCGCAGGCTTCTTGGAAGAGAGGGCCCAGGGCAGGGGACAGTCATTGGAAGGACAAAGCCAGAAGGCCTTCCAGGAGGAGGGGGGAGCGTGAACAAGGACAGGGGCAGGACTCATCCCAGGATAATGCAGAGACCTGGGCAGCAGGGCGAGGCTGGGGGCTGCACCGCCCACATCTGCTGGCCCAGGAGAGAAACAATTGGGGTTCCTGTGTCAGCCTCAGGGCTGACACAGGGGACAGGGGACTCCTGCCCTCCAATCTCTGCCAGCCTGCAGTGGGGCCATGTTTCCAAAGGACATTTATGTGGGGCCCGAGGTGGGAGCACGTGGCACTGCTGCTGGAGGGAGGGCGTAGTGGGGGATAGGGTGTGCCCCCTGCTCAGGGAGGTCCTGGAAGGACTGGGGTGGCACGGGGACACGGAAATGTGCACACAGGCCCCCTTCTGTCACCAACACGCAGCAGGCCCCTTGAGGATGGAGGCCGATGCTGGCAGGGGCTGCCCAACCTCACCTCGCACAGGGCAAGACCAGCTTTGCCAAGTGGAGCTGCAGCACGTGGGGGCTTCTGCAGGATTTCCACCTGCCGCTGAGGGCTCGTGGCCTCTCTTCAGAGAGCCAAGCAAGCCGCTCTCCCGCCCTCCCTGCCCCTCCAGGCGGCTCACTCAGCACCAGGGCCCCCAGTGCCGAGAGCCTGGCTCTCAGCTGGCCTGAGTCTCCTGAGCCCACTTATGCCTAGGCCTTCACAACCCTCCCACCCGCCCTCTTCCCTCGGCTCACTCCTGAGCTGGCACACAGGAGGCCCCGGAGAGGGAAGACAAAGCCAGGGCCCTCCAAGAACATGAGCGGGGCAGGGGCGGGTCCGGCAGACAGCCTCTGGGCTCAGGCCCCAGCTGCCTGCACAACAAATTGAATTTTATGCCAGATTTATAATCTCGGGTGTGGGGGAGGGAGTCTATCAAAAAGACAAGATCTCAGTTTTGTATAATGAGGCCACAGCAGGGAAAGGGTGCTGTGTGAGCAGCCCAGTGAGGTGGACACAAGACCCTCTCTGCAGAGGGGAAACTGAGGCTCAGGGAGGTGCTGTGCCCAGAGCACCTACCAGGAGACACAGGCAGGCACTGAGATGAGGACTCAAGTCCCAGGTCCACATGGGCACTGCATGGGTGCCGACACTACCCCACTATGGCAGCGAGGACCGCTGCTGGCCGGCAGGTGGGGGTCAGCCCTGCCCACCAGGGCTCAAGGGGCTCCCTGGGGAGCTGGGGGCGGGGGGGTTGAGGCGTGGGGGCAGACAGCAATCAGCAGCATCGGCTGCTTGGCAAAGGAGCCCTGTGAGTCATGCCCCCCAGCTCTACGCAGGGGGTTCAGAGGCAGGGCCCGCGGCACCGTGAGGGCACCAGACGAGAATGTCAACACTGAGCCAGGACGGAAGCCACGTGCTGCAGCCACACACACCCCCACCCCCGCCTCCGCGCCCTGCCTGCTAGCGGGGAACGGAGGGAAGGCCTACCTCGCCCGGCGCCCCCCATGCCTCGGCCCTTCTGCTGCTTCTGCTGCTGCAGGCCGCCGCGGCCCCGGCCCTTGGCCACCACCTCCTCCTTGACCATGTCGATGATCTCGTCCGGGATGCGCAGGTACTTGATGGTGCTGCCCCGGATGTAGCACTCGGGCATCCGCCAGAACTTGTCCCCGTCCTGCGGGGGCAGAGGGGGCTCGACCTGGGGGGCCCTGCAGAGTAGGTGCAGACAGCCAGGGCGGCACCCACCCCCTCATTCCCGTTCCCACCCAGAGCCCAGGCCCCCTGCACAGGCGTCGGCCCTGAACGCTGCCAAGTTCTTAGTCGGGACCCGACACGGGGTCGGGCCACCCGCCAGCGCCATCTCGCCAGACCCTCACAACCCTTCACACAAGAGGACGGGCAGGCAGGGCAGGAGCCGGGGCCCTGCCCAGCGTGTGCCACGTGGGAGGAGGCCTCCTCGTCCTCGCCTGTCCTCTGTGTGGGATGGGGTTGGTTACCCACAGCCTGAAGCCAGAGAGGGGTGGGGCTGCCCCATGTACCAGACACCGCCAAGGCCCAGCACCCCCCACCACCTGCCACCAGCCCTCCAGAATCCACCTTCTGGAACCCTCTCTACGTGCCCTGACTCATTCATTCATCCAAGAAGTATCTCTTGACAAGGTCTGAGCTGGGCGTGGGACATAGGATAGGGACCCTGTGTGCAGGTGAAGAGGGCTGGGCGGGGTCAGAGAAGCGGGTCTGCGGCCCACCAGGGGCAGCTCCCAACAAGGCCAGTGTTCAGGCGAGCTAAGGGAGGCTGGGGAAACGAAGGGGCTTGCAAAGTCGCCGACTCCCAAGCAACACCAGCCCTCGGTTCCTAGGACATCAGCTGCCTCCGCCCCCCCCCCCCCGTGACTAGCACCCGCCCCCCCATACCCCCTTAGGCCTCACTTGGGCAGGAGCTCAGGGCCTCGCCCATCAGATTAGTTCCCCAGCCCCACCCCCGATGCCCTGAGCCAGAGGCCTGGGCAGCCCTCTCCTCCCCTACGGCCCTAGAAATCAGACCAAGACATCTCCCTGCTTAAAACCCAATCAGGGCCCCCTTGGCCAAGGATGAAGTCTCAACTCCTCAGTGCGGCTCCCGAGGGCCCAAAGTCCAGCCCCACCCTGGCTGCCCTCTCTCAGCCCTCAACACACCTTCCAGATGGAACCTTCTGGAACACACACCATGGGCTTTTTGCCCCCAGCATTTTGTACACGCTGTTCCCACCTTTCCTTGTCCAGATAACTCTGGCCCTCCTCAGGCCTTGCCTGCCAACCTCCTTGAAACCCCTAGTCCTCCTGCATGACACTCGTCAGCAGTGCCTGGGCCGGTCTGGTCCGGCCCAGTGGAGGCGCTCAGCGGGACAAACAGAATGTTCAGGAGCTGACTCTTCCCAGGAACACGCATGAGCCCCCAACCCACATAGGAACCCCACGAGGCCTCAGGGGATTCCTCTCCCAGAAAGGGTAGGCAGGGGGCCAAGTCCATGGGATGCAAAGTACAGCCAGACAGAAACAGAATGATTCCACGGAAGCCCAGGGCTGGGGCTGGACGCTCAGCGCTGGGCTCTCCCTCAGCCAAGGACAGGCCGGGCCCAGCACACTCCCCATGGGAACCAGGGCTTCCTCTGCTTTCTGTAGTGGCAGCCGACAGGCTAAGCTAAGTGCCTCCCAACCAACCCTAGCTCTCCCGCAGTTTCTCTGCTCCCAGGGTCCCTGCATCCTGCCGCCCACTGCCCGAGGGAGGGAGGGGCTGCTCTCGCCTGTTTACAGATGAGGAGGCCGGACCACCTGAGTGAATGTGAACCTCATACCAGCCGGTCCTCCCAACCGCCAGCTCAGGGAGGGGGCCTGCCCAGTCTCGGCTGGTCACAGAGGCCAGACTGACCTCACCCTGAGACCCGGTGCTTACTTCCAGGTCCCAGAAGCGGACACAGACCTTTTGGGCAGGTGCAGAAGGACATGTGCTGGGCTATGCACTGTGGCACTGTCTGCTCCAGCCACACTGGAACCACCGAGACACCCACTGCTGGGAGTGCGGCATGAAAACCAGGAGGAAGCTTCTAGCAGGCTGGTGAGGAAGGCAGGCCCCCCACGATGTCCCGTCACAAGAAGCAGGTCCCAGAACCGCACAGGTGAGGGGAGGGAGTCAGGCCCACCTGTCTACCTGTGGGGGTGTGAACTGTCCAGGACAGAGCAGGGCCGAGGGTGGCTGCCCCAGGCTCTGCTGTACTCTAGTGTGATGAGTCCTGGGGGCACGCTGCCCACGGGCTCAAGGCAGCCCCGGTCTGGCTGGGGCCCCCAGCTGCTTCCTCCCTATGGGGGGGCTGTTGCTGGCAGGGAGACAGAGACTAGAATCAAGGTGGAAGGAAAGTTCTAGCAGAGCCTGGCACAGGTTAGCGGGAGGGAGCCCTGCCTTCATGACTGTCCTCGTCCTCATCGCTCTGTGGGTCATCCTCAAGTGGGGAAGGCCGTGACCCCAGGGAACTGTCCCTCAGCCCTGGCCTGCCCAGTGATGCTCCTGGTCCTGTACTTCCTGGTTTCAGGCCTCAGGAGGTAAACAAGCCTCCTGGTCCACAGGCCACGGGGCTGCCCTCGCCCCCTAGTGGCCTGGACACCCCATCGGCCACACCCCCATGGCCCGTCCATAGCCGGGACAGAAGGTAGCAGAGGCTGGGGAGGAGGGGCGGGCCTGCAGCAGGGATTCATAGCCGGGAGTGCCCCCAGGCCTAAGTCTTTCCTGGTCGGGGTGGCACCCACAGACACACAGCAGCTGAGGCCAGCGAGCAGCTCAGCACCCGCCTGGGCAACGTCCCCACAGATACAGGTCCAGGACACAGGGGGACTTGGACCCCACCCCTCCCACAAGCCCCACCCCTAGAAGGCCAACTTGTGCTAGGCTGAGGGACACCCCCACCCCACTAGGAAGCAAGGATGCTGAGGCTCAGTATGCCCCAGGTCCAGGCGCACTCACGGCCATGCTGCCCCCACGCCCTCTGCCCGCCTGACCAGCCCACCCAAGGGCCCCCAGGCAGCGGGCATAGACCCCGGGGCACGGGGCGCTCACCCTAGATGTGCAGATCACCTCGCGCAGGTTGATGTTCATCCAGTTGTCACAGCTCACCAGGTGCCCGTTGTATGTCTCCCCGTTTTTAAGCTCCACCAACTGGAGAGAACGGGCCCCAAGTCAGCTGTGGGCCCCAAGAGGTGCAGCCCTGCCCCTAAGAGCTGGCCACCACTATCTCGGCCTCACTCGGACCCATCCTCAGCTCCTCTCGGGACCCGGTGGCCACAGCCTGCAGCACCTAGACCCCAGTGGCCCGTCTTACAGGTGACATGTTCTGCTTCCTCTGTACACTTTGCTGGGGATTTTAGACTTTCTACAATGAAACCATTTTTTTGTGCAAAAAAGAAAAAGAGAAAACAAACAATCACACCACAAATCTTTAAAGGAATGAGTGAGGTTAGGGTAACAGTGGCCACTGATTCAGGGTGGCCACTGATTCAGTGTGGCCAGGCGCCAGGCTGGCACAGGTGCCCTTTTTTTTTTTATTTGGTGAGGAAGATTGGCCCTGAGCTAACATCTGTTGCCAATCCTCTTCTTTTTGCTGAGGAAGATTGTCGCTGAGCCAACATCTATGCCTATCTTCCTCTACTGTATATATGGGACACTGCCACAGCATGGCTCGATGAGCGGCGTGTAGGTCTGCACCTGGGATCCAAACTCGAGAACCCCGGGCTGCTGAAGCAGAGCGCACAAACCTAACCACTAAGCCACGGGGCTGGCCCAGGGGCAGGCACCCTTTGAGGGCACATGCGTGAGCTGTGGTGGTCTGCAAACACTGGTTTTCACTGCAATAGTTGCTCGTCTATTTTGATGTGTTTTGGGAAAACACATAAGTAGCACACCATTCTGAAGATATGCTGTTGCTAGAAAAAGGCTGAGGTGTAGAGAAGAGTCAACTCAGGTATCTGCCCCAGAGAAACAAAGGCACACATCTATGCAAAGATATGTACACAACCGTTCACAGCACCCAAAATAGTCACCAATCACCAGAAAGCTAGAACAACCCAAACGTCCATCATCAGCAGATAAATAAACACAATGTGGTCTGCCCAGACAATGGAATGTCATTCGTCCACAAGGACTGAAGCTCTGACACACGCTGCACGGTGGATGAACCTCAAAAACCTCATGCTGAGAGAGAGAAGCCAGACAGAAAAGGCCACATAGTGTGTGATCCCATTTACAGGAAGTGTTCAGAACAGGCAAATCCGGAGAGACAGAAAGCAGGTTAGTGGGTGCCAGGGGCTGGGGGAGGGGGATTGGGTTTCCTTTTGGGGTGATGGGAATGTTCTGGAACTAGATAGAGGTGGTGGTTGTACAACATTGTGAATATACAAATGTCACTGAATTGTTCAGTTTAAAAGGTTGAATTGGGGGCCGGCCCCATGGCCTACCAGTTAAGTGCACGTGCAACACTGCTGGCAGCCTGGGTTTGGATCCCGGGTGCGCACTGGTGCACCCCTTGTCAGGCCGTGCTGTGGTGGCGTCCCATATAAAGTGGAGGAAGATGGGCAGCAATGTTAGCCCAGGGCCAGTCTTCCTCAGCAAAAAGAGGAGGATTGGCATGGATGTCAGCTCAGGGCTGATCTTCCTCACAAAAATAAAAAAAAGGTTGAATTGTATGTTATGTGAATTACATAATAAAAACAAGAAAACAGAACATATGGACAGAGACCACAGTGTGCCATTAAGGACAAAGGTAGTTGAGGGAACAATGTGTTTCACGTGACCCCATCTGTGTTTAAAAAAATCACGTTCATGTTCACATACATGCTGAAAGTCTGGACATGCGTCTATCAAAGAACGGGGTGAGCTGCTGGGATTAATGAAGAGGGGCTCCACTTCCCGTGTAACTCAAGCCTGGGTTACTTGTATAAGCGGCAGAAAGGACCCGGGTCCTGACACACGTGAGAGGGAGGAGAGAACAGGCTGCCTCGTGGACAGGCAGGGAGCAGGGTCGGCTGGCCCCTCGGACCCTCGCTGTCCTAGACTGCAGGCACTCACCATGGGGTGATTCTGAGCTGTCTTCAGCAGCGACAAGGGCAGCTGTAAGGCAAATATAGGCACGTGACTTGTCTGTTCAACCAGCGCGGGAGCCCCGGCCTCCAGGCAGGGCTAGGCCTCCAGTCCCCGGGATCTGAGGGACACCTCAGCGCTGGGGTGCGGGAGCGCACATCCCTCGTCCCAACAGAAAATGCATTCTCCTAACCCTGCCTGCTCCAGACAGACACCTGCCTCCCAGTTTAGGAAAGCAAGTGTTCAAACAGCCCCCACCCCTTCCCAGAGGCGGCCCCCACCTGGTCCCGGTGCTGACCACTCCGGGCACTGCTTTCTAACTCGTGTTGCATATAGTCACACCCCTGAGAGGCCAGGGTGCAGCCCTCCAGGCCTATCCATAGCATCTCGGCATACACGTCCTTCTGCTCTTTGCTCAGCAGACGTCTCTGAGGCATCCGTGTGCATACACGCAGCCCTAGGCCTTCCATTTTCAGCATCATATATGGTTATTAACACGCCCACTTTACAGATGGTGATACTGAGGCCGAGAGACTGAGGAACTTGCCCAGCACTAGAGCTAGCAGGAGACAGAGCCTGGCTTGGCCCCATCTGTCCACAGCCAGCTCTGCTGAGCCCACGCCTCAGAGGGTAGCCTCGACTGGACCGAGAGTGATTCAGCCAGGCATGACGGGGAGTCCACCCCAACTGGGGCCACATCTGAGCTGGATTTTCAGAGAGAAGAATTCACCAGGTGAGGGGGAAGAAACATTCCAGAAAAAGCCTGTGGTTACCACAAGTGATGGCAGATAAGATATGAACTCTTTTAAAACTCACCTAGACAAGGTGAGCTTTCGAGATATTTCTTTTTCCATCATTGCTGAATTTCCTTACATAACAACAATAACTGCAAAAAATCAGCTCTTTCCATTTCGGGAACACAAGTAACGACCTATACTCTGGGTCTCCAGAGCGAGACTCAGGTGGCAGTGCTGAGATCTGGGATCCAGTGACAGCCCATCCAGTGTTGCCTGATGAAGGATCAGGACCGAGGGCCCCGAAGATGAGAACCTGCCTCCAGGAGGACCACGGCTTCACCACCCCTTGCCCTGGCGACTTGGGAATGCTGAGCGGGCCTGCCGCCCAGAAGCTCTTTACAGGGGAGTCCGCCCGCCCTCATGGCTGGGTACCAGGTGGTGGGAACCAGAAAGCCTCGCCATGGATAGGCTGGAAGTGGCCCTCAACTCCATAGGGTGGCTCCCCATGGCAGCACTTGGCGGGGAATCCCACATCCCACGGCCCTTCCCTGAGAAGAGCCAACCAGGGAGGTCCAGGCCGGCAGGAAGCCAGGCCCAAGCCCACTTCCTGCACTGGCTTCCTGGAGGGCCGAGATAAGAAGGGGCCGCTGCTCTCAGGAGGGTGGGCAGGCAGGCTGGGGCCTGACGTGGCACCGGCAGCTCCGGCCCTCATCTGGAATGCATCCGTGTGACGCGGCCTGGGTGCAGCGAGCCACGGAGGAGGAACAGGAGGCCCACACTCACAGGCAGGGGCCACGTGCCCACGTCGCCTGTACTACAGAGAAACTGCCGGCTATCCCAGGCAAGCCTCTTTTCTCGTGTCTGAAACAGGAATCTGGACCAGGGTGATGACACACTTGGGTCCTCCGCCCAGATCACTGGAGAGGGGACAGGGCCAGGTCAGCAGTGGAAGGCAAGAATGAAGACGGACTCAGCGCTGAGAGGTGGATGAGGGTTGGAGCAGTACAGCCAAGGCCCTCTAGATGAGGTCCCAGCAGCCAGGGCAGAGGGACCTGCCCGGGGACACACAGCAAGGTCCTGGTAAAGCCATGAAAGTAGGCTGATGGCTGTCAGCGGGGGACCGGCAGGCGTCCTTTTAAGCCACACACAGCTTCTAGGCTGGTGACAGCCTCTCTCAGGCCACCACCTTGTCCCAGCTACTGGCAGCACAGCCCTGGAGGACCCACAGCCTCCTCTGTCGCCGGCAGTGCCCCACCCACAGAGCAGCTGAGAAGACATCTGAGACACAGACAGGACCAGCGCCTGCCCCACCCTCCCGACTTCCCTGCGCTCCCCCTCTCCAGGCAGGCCACCAGGCCAGGCTTGACACAGCTCCAGCCACAATGGCCCACTCTGTCCCTCACACGCCACGCCTGTTCCTGCCGCCTGACCTTTGCTCCTGTGGTTCCCTCCCCTAGGCTGGTGGCTGCTCAAACGTCACCTCCCTTGGCCAGGCCTTCATAATAACCCCGTCCAGGGAACAAGGTTTCCACCTGGGCCGCCCTCTGCCGTTTCTATTATAGGCCATAGCCAGTCTCTAATTATCTTGTTTATTTATTATGTCTCCCTGGCTAGACTGGAACACCAAGCCTCCTGCTGGACTGGAAAACTCAGAGGGTGTGGACTCCGTCCAGCACCAAGCTCAGGGCCAGGCACGCGAGAAGGACTCAGTAAATATTTGCTGAACAAATACACAAGGGAAATGCGTGTGCTGCCAGGGAGGCACGTGGGGTGGGTGGGATACTTGCCCAGCACACAGAGAAGGAATGGAGAGGCTCCGAGGGGGAGGGGTGGCATCGGGACAGCCCTCCAAGGCTGCACCGGCCTGGGACAGTGGCCTTGTCTTGCCTTCTTCTACATCCTCGTCCCCACACTGGGCTGGAAGCAGAGGCGAGAGGAAGGGGAGGATCCCAGAGAACTTAAAACTCCATGGGAAAGAGGAAGACGTGTCAAGGTGCCAAGGGAGACGGGACACGTCAGACACCCAGTTCAGGGGAAGACGGGCACATCTGGAGGTGGGAAAAGCTTCAGGACAGAGAATTCCTTTCTCTGGGCTTTCTCAGAACGTCTGGGGTCTGGTTCTCAGGTCTAGACCAATCCAGACCCAATGGCTTCCTGAGGCTTCCAATTCAGGAAGCCGTCTTGGACCACCCCCTCCCACCCCCCGCCACACACACACCCAGACTCCTGCTTGCGGCCCGGCCCTGACCACAAGGAACTGGCAGTGTGTCCTCTCTTGTCCACTCCTGGACATTCTTCAGGCTGAAGAAATGAGTCTGTACTTAGCACAGGCACTGTTCTAGGCTCTGGGAATACACCAGAGATAAAGACAAAGATCCTGCCTCCATGGAGCTTAACAAACAGGGATCCTTCTGCTTCTGCCCATTCCCTCAGGCCAACCCTGCCTTTCAGCAGAAGGGGACCCACTCACTTCTCTGAATTCCTATACCAGCCGGCAGGATTTATAGAGAACCTTCACTAAGTCTTGGCTCTGAGAACCCGGCAGCAACCGTCCCAGAGTGACTCTGTGCTGCCGGGCCAGGCACTCTCCCAGAAGGCCCAGCTCTGAAGTCCTCTGCCTGGGCCTCTGTTTCCCTTCTATACACTGGGGACACAGGCACTCTCTGGCCTAGATCCAGAACTTCCACAACCAATGAGCAGCATAGTCCTGGAGAGGCTTCCTGTCAGAGCCTCAATTTTTCCTTCTGTGAATGGGGAGGGGGCAGTTAGTCCACCCCTGGCTCAAAATGCCCCCTCTCCCCCTGGAATGACATGCTGTGTGATCTAAGAGAAGCAAACTCCCTCTCTGGGTCTGCTTTTCAGCCTGGAAATGAAAAGCATAGGAGAGTATGCTACTAACACTCTAGAGGCCTTGCAAGCCCTGAAATTAAGCCCCGGCTTAATTTGAGAACTCAGACCTGCCTCCTACTTCCTGGAGCTCCAGCTTTCCAACGTATGCGGTTAGACTGGGTCGGATGCACTCAGAGGCACTTCCTCGCCCAAAAACTCACTCTGCTGCATTCACCCGGCACTTCGGCGGGTCCGCTCCTTCTCCGGCCTCAGTTTACCCATCTGCAAAATGGGAAGACTGCGGCTAGGCCTCTATACTATGACTGCACGTTCCCCCAGCCCTAAGTCCCCCGAGATTGACGTGCTAGGCGGCCTGGGAGAGCCCTTCTGCCCTCTCCGGCCTCAGTTTCCTCGCTCGGGCCGGGGGGCAGGACTCGAAGCCCAGATGCACGCTGGCTCCGCGTCGCCCCTGCCCCAGCGCCCGGCCCGAGAGCCCCCGGCGGCCACGTCCCCTGCCTCCCGGCGAGTCCTCGCCGTCACCCTGCCCTCACCATGGTGTCGGCGGGCACCAGGCTCGCAGGCCACTTCCGCCGCCCTGCCACCGCCGCTCACGCGCCCGCCGGTAGCCACCCGACCGCGCGCCACAAGGCTGAAATGGGAGTGGCAGCGACACGAGCCAGTCAGCATGGGACTCGAGAGACGGACAACCAATCCACGCGGAGTAGGGCGGAGCCTGCTGGGAACGAGGGGCGGGGCGGGGCGTGTTCTCGCTGGAGGAATAAGAGAAGAGGGCCGTAAAGTGTCGCGGTGAGTGCTGCAAAAGGGGGCGGAGCAGCGTGCTCCGGCGCGTGAGGGCATGTGAGTAAGGGCGCATGCGCAAGTGAATCCCTTGCTGATCTGGGCTCCACGCTGTGGGCAAAGCTTGGTATTGCTGCCAGTTTGCGAGTGGCGAAATCGAGGCTCCGTGGTTATTGGGATGTGCCTGATGTCTCCCTTCGGGCTCTTACTCTTCTGTTTCTCACTATTGTAGTTGATCTTTATCCAAAGCACGTCTTTTGGTAGGTTGGAATTCCGACTGTGCCCCTCTGAGCCTCAGTTTGCCCCCCTGTAAAATGGGTGTAATAATAGTGTCTGCTCTAGAAGGTTGAAGTGAGGAGGAAACAAGTTAAGCCATGTAAAAGCACTTGGAACAGCGTCTGGCACATACTGAGCACTTAATACACGGGGGAGCAGTATTTATTGCACACCTACTAGGTGCCTACTCTTGGAAACACAGAGGTGAACAAGCCTGACAGGACTCCTGGCCCTCCTGGCACTCAGGGGCCCATTGAGGAGACAGAGGTAAACAAAAGAAATAGGCAAATGTGTTTGTTTCTTTGGGCTGCCATAACGGATACCACAAACTGGGTGGCTTAAAACAATAGAACTTGATTCAGAAGTCTGAAATCAAGGTGTGAGCAGGCTTGGTTCCTTGTGGAGGCTCTCAGGGACAGTTCATCTCAGGCCTCTCTCCCAGCTTCTGGGGTTGTCAGCAACCCTTGTAGCTCCTTGACGTGTAGACACATCACTTTGCTCACTGCCTCTGTCTTCACATGGCTTTCTGCTCTGTGTCTCGGTCTCGCATCTTCCTCTCTTTTTCTTATAAGGACACTCCTTTCTCTTATTAGGCCCACCCTAAATCCAGGATCATCTCCTCTTGAGATCCTTAATTACTCTGCGAAGACTTTATTTCAAATAATGTCATATTCCCAGGTACAGAGGTTAGAACTTATCTATGTTACCTATGTTATGTTAGAACTTATCTAAGACTTTTTTGTGTGTGTGAGGAAGATCAGCCCTGAGCTAACATCTGATGCCAGTCCTCCTCTTTTTGCTAACATCCATGCCCATCTTCCTCTACTTTATATGGGACGCCGCCACAGCATGGCCTGATAATCGGTGCGTCGGTACGCGCCTAGGATCCGAACCTGTGAACCCCGGGCTGCTGAAGCGGAGCGCGCACACTTAACCACTGTGCCACCGGGCCAGCCTCATGTAAGACTTTTTAGGATGTATGTTTTTAGGGGAACTACTCAGCCTACTACATCAAGCATTAGCTATGATTCCTTCCAACATAGATGACATTTGTTTGAATAGTTCACTTCTCCTAGGCGACCGTGCATGTAGTTTCACACACTTGTGAGCACAATGGCAGCCTAAATTCCCAGGAGAGGCCCAGTTGGGTGACCATGAGGGTTCTTTCCTCGGCCTTGACCTTCGGGCCTGTAAATGAGCAGTAGGTGCCCTCCTCCAGTGACTACCCTTCTCCCGGCCTCCTGAGTGTCAGCGTTGCCCTGAAACCTTTTCTTACCAAGCCCAGGGCCAGCTTCTTCCAGCTGAAAGGACCCTCTGCCTCTCAGAGCCGGCTGGGGAACCCTTGATGCTCAGCTTCTCAATAAGAGTCTCCTGTATCGGGCCTCAGAGGCCTGGGTGGAAGAGGATGGACCCACAGGCCCAGCCACCTCCCAGCAAACAGGTATGAGCACAAAAACCCACCCTCCAGGAGCTGGTGAGGGGAGCAGGGCCTGGGTGCCCAGCTTTGCTATGAAGGAGCTGAGAGCTCAGGCGTGTTCCTCCCTCTCCCTTCTCCGTAGAAACAGGAATAATGATCTCCACCAACCAGGGCTGCTGAGTGGATTGACCACACGTGGAGCCGGCATAACGGGCCAGGCAGCCGGTTGGTCCGGCAGTCCTGGACCAACAGTTGTCCTTCATGTCTTAGTTTGGGGTTCCCCCTCCCCCACAAGCGGACCCTGAGATAAGGACTCGAGGGCACACAGTGTATTCAGCGGGTGACCCCCGGAAGCCCCCACTAGGGGGTGAGACCTGAGACAGGGAGGGAAAGATTCCTGCAGGGGGCATCCAGGAGTGGGCTATGCAGCAGGTAACTGGGAGTCAGTCCACCTGGGGACCTCAGGGAGATGGTGTGAGAGCTGTGTCCCCTGGTGGTGCCTCCCAAGGTCAGGGCAGCTGGGGCATTCATTCTCTAGGTCGTGTCAATCACTGGCTTAGGGCTGCTCCCAGGGGAGCTGGCGAGGTCTGGGATCAGTGCAGGATGCTGGCAGGTGGCCAATAGTGATCTACCAACCCGGTCAGAGGGATCAGGGTGACCAGCCAAGTCTTGTCTGCCAAGGGTAAAGGCCACTTGATGTAAACAACAGAAATTGGGAAACATGAAGTGTCCCAGCATCAACACGGTGGTGGAAGTAGGAAGGGAATGCATGCTGGTTCACCTCTTTCTGACTTTTCTAGACTTTTCTGTGTGTAAAGTCTTTCTCTTTTTGCCCAACTGACAAACTCCTATCCGTCCTTGAAAACTCTGCTTGGGTGACCCCGTGTGGCGGACTGCAGTGACTGCAGTTTTTGTCAGCCCTTTCAACGTAGGGGTGGCCAATCCGAGTTCTCCATTGCCATAGTGATTGGTTAAAGGACGAGCATGTGACCAACCAAAACCAATTAGAATCTCTCTTGAGAGGGACACTGAGGGCTAGGAGGGAGAAGAGCGCTTTCCATGGAGGTTGTTAAAAGTGGGATAGTGACGGCCCAGTGCTGTCAGAATTGATCTTCTGGAAAATCAGGATTGATCTTCTGCAGGTTGAATCCAGCATACATAAGAGCTACTTGGTGGAAAGGGAGGCAGGGTTTTAGCCCCTGGATCCAGCCATATCTGAAGCCGTAAGGTGTGACTTTCCACTTACATAAGCCCAAGAAGTTGTCCTTTATTGCTTAATCCACTTGGAGTTTGGACTCTGTCCCTGGAAATCAGCACTAATTAGCGCAGAACCTGCAGTAATGCAGGTTCTCTTCAATGACTGCCCCCCACAATCTAATTATTCCCTCTCTTATACTTTTTTTTTGTGTGAGGAGCATCAGCCCTGAGCTAACATCTGATGCCAATCCTCCTCTTCTTGCTGAGGAAGCTTGGCCCCGAGCTAACATCCGTGCCCATCTTCCTCTACTTTATATGGGATGCCGCCACAGCATGGCTCGACAAGCGGTGCGTCGGTGCATGCCCGGGATCTGAACCGGTGAATCCCAGGCCGCCACAGAACCCCTTGTGCCACTGGGCCGGCCCCTACCCTCTCTTATACTTTGAACTTCAGTACCTTGCACTGATTTTCATCATTACCTGCTTTGTGCCACATTGTAATTGCTCATTTGCACACTTAAGCCTTCTCGACTCTGACCTGTAGGAGTAAAAACATGAGACTTTGCATGGGCCACTTTTTGAGGCTGTCGGCAGAGTTCCTCCTCCCCCCTCATGAACACATGACCAGGCTCAACTGATCAGAGGGCTTCCCTGGGACAGTTCTGGAATTGCAGAGCTGAAGTAATACGAGTCAGCTGTAGACATGGCCATCTCTCCACTTCAGAGGCTTGGCCCTGTTTAATCCTGGATCCAGCTGTACCTGATGCTTCATAAATCCTCATCCTTCCTTATCCCTTGAACCAATACTCCTATTTTTTCAGTCCAGTTTAAATTGTATTTCTGATGGCAAAAACCTGAAGAGTGTGGACCAAGGCATCTATCAAATTAACAAAAATACTCTACCTTCCACTAAAAAAAAAAAGTAGGGAAAATTGTAAAACCCAATGCTGGCAAGGTTGTGGTGAAACTAGTAGATATATAGTTCCTTTTTTTTTTTTTAATAATTTTATTTATTTATTTTTTCCCCCAAAGCCCCAGTGGATAGTTGTATGTCATAGTTGCACATCCTTCTAGTTGCTGTATGTG